TTGAAATGCTTTTATATTAGCTATGGCTGCCATTTATGTATCTCTGCTTTGCTATGGCTTTGTTTCTGCATCCTTCTGCATCTGTGTCATCGGTTTTCCCCTCCAGACTGACAGCTTATTTAAAAATACATGTTTATACTTTGATTGTGTATTAAATCGTTGTGGTGTTACTGTGAGCCACAGATAAATCATAACATCATTTTGTTTGTGCAGTTTCAAGACTGTGAAAGTGATGACCTGACCCGGGTGTAGTCCTCTCTGTACTTGTATGTGCATTTTGCCTGGTCTGGTCACATGATCATTTGTGACAGGGGTCAGGAGGGGTCAAGTGGGGTCATGAGTAGTATCCTGACATCCTGCCAGTCTAATCACCTGTTTATTTATTTAACAAGCAAACTCTGATCCACACAGACCAAGGGACAGAGAGTGAGACGAAAGAGAGAGTGAGAAAGTGAAAGTAGAAGGTTGATTACGGTTCAGCTTCATCATGACTGTAGAGATGTGTCGCTCAGATTTAGCTGTATTTTTAGTAGAAAATACTAGGCATGCTGTCAAGTGTCTCTTTTAAAACACTTTAATTAGGAGTGGATCAGTCATTACAAACTTGTGCTTTGCAGCCAAACTTTGTTCAGGTATATACAGATACAGATCTTTAAATCCCAGTGGTAATCCCAGAGTTTCCAAAGATACAAAATAAACTCACTGGCCGCTTTATTAGGTACACTTTTACAACTGTATGTACTTCCATGCAGCACTTCCACCTTAACATCTGTGTTTATGAAGCTCAAAACGTTTCAGCTTTTGGTGAAATTGTGATAAATGTATAAATTCAATGATATGTTTATTATTGAGTTCATAGTTAAAAGTGGTGTTGTACTGGACTACATTATATTTAGAGGTGTTTCTATATTTTTGTCCTCCACAGCTACATATGTGAGAGTGTCAGAATATTAGGAACACCTCTAAATATAATGCCATATTTATGACTTCAATAAGTAAATGTTCATTTTCATTCAGGTGGCATAAAAAGGAATGTGTAGTACAGTCACTATGTTGGCTTATTGCTGCCCTCTTTTGGAAAGTGCTGGTACCAGTATTAGTGAACACTTTGCTTGTACTTACTAGCCTTGTCCACATAGTGGTGATAGATTACAGCCTTCTAGTTCATTATATAATCCCACCTTAACTTTGCACTGTTATCAGTTTCCACTTCTGGTCAGGAATAGGTTTGTGTAAAGCATTCTGTAACCTTTGCTTTAAAGAATGTTATATCATTAGAATTATTTATTATAAATTGCAAGAGGTTCACTAGGATAGCATCAGCCTAAAGGCACAGAATATTACTTAATAATTCTGTATAGCTTCAGGTAACAATGTTTTAATTTTTAGGCTGATGTGTCTGAACAAACAACCCTTCATCAGAAGACTGATATCAATTTGATGCAATATGATCATTACATGTAATTTGTTATTGCAAATATTATCCTGGCTACATACCCCCACCTGGGTATGATCATTATGGTGCTGCTCTGAAAAACCAACTGTTAATAGAAAGCTTCTTTGTGCCTTCAGGGGGCGTTACCCCAGCTGACAGCAGCTTGTAATTCATAATAACACAGATACACTGCAGTGACTAGGTTATGGTGACTCTGGATACAAGAGAAATACTGTAAATGCCATAAACAAATAAAATAACAAAAGAGATATATAATATGTTCCTATTCACAGGAACTAAATGCAGAATGTTTGTGGGTGTGATGCAAATAGAGGAATTTGCAATGCTGACAGACACTAGAAATATTTTCATCTCACTTGATATTTGCATATGATAATAATAATAATACACTGGAAACAGATGCTTCACCCACACTTTTTTTTGCATTGCACATCCTTTTACAATATGTTTCTATAAGACTTTGCATGCACAAAGTTGACATAAGTTATGCTGTAGTCATATTGCAAATGAGTCTGATTTACTCATCTAATTTACTTTATTACATGATGATGTAGTGAATAAATAGAAGTTAATACTGAACAGTTAGAGTTTTACACTGTGATATTGTGCAAAGGTGACCAAGCTAAACACACACACATACACCTAATCCAAGCTTTGACCCTAAAAGCAAGTCTTTAAAAAGGTCTTTGAGGGTGTGTACCAAAATGAGAACTGGCCAAAGTGTTCTCACTCCCACGGTCTAAAACTCAAACCTGTTCTCAAACTGGTGGCCATGCAAGTATACACATATTTGTGGGTGTGTATAGATTAAATAGATAAAAGTAAGTATTCAATCAGTCAAAGATTTTCACTTGTAGCTCAAATACAGCAACTTCATCTTTTGAGTCACAAATTCATTAGCACTGAAATGTTTTTGGAGTGCATCAAAGTACAACTTAAATTTTCACATATTTTGTGTCAGCATCTAAACTACTACTAGTACAGTCCAGTGGGTTGGTAGTGTTTTGGCTTGGCTGACCTGTTTAAATTGAGCTTTTACTACCTGCAACCATGTTTGTTTTACTTTGACCAGCAGGTTTTCTTTCTCTGAGCCTCTTGTTGAATATTTTATTTTAGAAAAGAGGTCAGGTTGCAGCAAGATGAGTGACTGCAGGACAGGAGGGCTCCAGAGAAGTGCAGGTAGGGCTCACCCAGATATGGGTGAGGGATAGTGACGATAATGAGATATTTAATAGCACAGACACATGAGAGGGCATGCTTTATTGTGATCAGGGATGCTGCTACGTGGAGACGCACACTTTCTTTACAAGACAATGAAGTATGTTGGTACTGCAGCTTGTCCAAAATGGTTTCATTTTGTAATTACTGTATCTGGACTTACCGATATTTTTACAATAACAATGGAGAAAAAATTGAAAGAGGTTGCTCATAATGAGGAAACCACAAGTAATTGCTAGTTTGGTTTTACGGCCCACAACTGGTTTGGTTTAGCCTCACTGGTTCATCAGCAGGCCACTGTTTTTAGCAAAAAAATGTTCTGATAAACAAACTCTATGAACCATGTAACCAGAAACACCACTCCTAATGTTGCTTCATGTCAGAATGTGCAATAAACACCAGTTATTATTATTTCATTTTATATATAAAGTATTTTCTCAACACTCAAGGATGCGTAATAAACACCAAGAGCAATTCAAACATGTAAAACCAATAAAAAAAAAACAGCAAATTACATTTATCAGATAAAACAGTGGTAAAACAGTTATATCAACACACTGCAACAAACTCTGAGATGGTGGTACATCACTGAATATCATAGGGGAGATCGTTCTAAAGCCTTGGTAACTGAAAATATCCCACCAAAGACAAACGGTATTCTGCATTAGTAGATGACAGGTCTGGCTAAAATAATAAACTAGAGTTTTACCACAACGCTCACCTGCGCCTATCTTTCCCAGGACCTTTAGTTGCAGCAAACACACCTCCTGTTCAGAGTTAGCTCCTCCTACTTTCTGGACACCTGCATATAAGCTCACCTGCAGTATGAGTAGTACAGAGCCTTCTGTGTTCCTCTGGATCCTAAACTGAATATATCAGAAGAAAATCCTGGTGAGTACGATATTTGTAAAGAAATTATTAATATTATTATTAGCACATAGACTTCTTATATATATATAATGTAATAATGTGTTATGATTATAATAAAAGGATATAATTATACAAGGTTGGTTAAGATTATAAAAAATTTAAATGCTGTTTTAAATCCAAATAGTTATAGAAAGAAGAAGCTGTTGCCACTATCCCCAAGCAAATAAATCATAAAGATGAAACAAAAGTCTATTTCCTATTGAACAATGTGTCTCCTTGTGACTCTGGAATTCACTCTGAATATTTTCCTGATCATCTGAACAAGGACCGTCTGTCTCCTGCTGGGTCCTTTGTAGTGTTATGAGAACAGTGTCACAAGGATCGAGTGGCAGAGAGAGAGAGAGGTTCCATTGACTGATCTGATCTGCCACTGAAACCCTACCGATAAACACATAAGAGCAAGCATGCATTAAAAAACCACACACACACACACACACACACACACACACACCACAAAAATACCATGACATCCAAACATCAACCAGTCTTGCTTGAAGCCCATGAGGTAATGTGAATATCTGTTATGGGGGAAATATTTAATATTTAATTGTGCTAAATATGACTATTTGTGCAAAGTAGTCATCGTTGAAAATGTAAAGAAAAACACAACTTCATAAAATCTTAATTTTAGATTTCAGAATGTCAACTTTTCAATTACATTACATAAGAATTGTATAGCAGTCTAAACCTTTATGAGGACTATGGAGCCACATTTCATCGCCTCTTTTTGTTTCAGTTTTTGGTCTCTACTTAAATACAAAATGCAGCTTATTATCATAGTAACAGACTACACAAGGGTGTTCTCAGTCCCCGTAAGAGGCTCCTCTTTGACCCAGGACTGAGCTTTAGTCATTTACATTTTGATTTTTCCCCGACTTGAGTTGAAGTTGCATTTCAACAGAGCTGAGAATGACAGACTGAAGTGGCTCTGACCATAAAGTCAGTCATCTCGTCAATGCAGATGGTTAGTTTGAATAGCCACTAGCCTGGTATGTAGTGCTTTTATCATTTTCAGTAGTCTTCAATATTAGGGCCCTCTTGTGTTTCCATTAAAGTCTGCTGGGATAAAACACATTTGCTTAAGGGCCACAGAAGAGCTTTTCTGCAGGCAGTTCTCATGTGACAGTAGGTTTAAATGACTGCAACAGTCTTATATATTTTAGTCATGTATTTTCCTTATGACATCTGCAATATCTGTAACATCCATCCACTGTCTCTTAAGAGAAATGGACCCTCAAGAGCTCTAATAGATGGAACATGTGTGAATGTGCTTTTGTTCTGTTTCTCTCTTCATGTCTTGCCTCCATCTTGTCTTTACAAGTTCATCAACACATCATTGTCTGAATCCAAGTTTCCATGCATTTCTCTCTGTTTTCTGCCTTCACAGCCGTCCATCATGGCTTCCAGTATGTCGGTGAGGAGTTACTCTGTGAGTCGTCAGCCCTCCTTTTCCAGTCGTTCTCTGATTGATACCGGCCGCGCTCGCTCCCGTGCTTCAGTCTCTTTCACAGCAGCTAGTCCACTGACCCGTTCAGCTTCTTTCAGCCAGGACCTCAATGGCCCATTCAGCCTCCATCTTAATGGCCTGCATGGCAACAGCACCAATGAGAAAGAAGCTATGCAGAGTCTCAACAACCGCCTGGCCAACTACCTGGACAAGGTCTGACACATTACGCAGCACAGTAGGCCTACTGGCTGACGGCTGGTCAGCAGCCAAATGGATGATGGGCATATCTTTGGCTCTCTGCTGATAAGGAAATGATACTATTAGCAGCCACGGAAACACTTTGGTCATGAAACAGTCTCTTTCTCTTTGTTTTTTTTCAGGTGCGGACACTGGAGCGCTCCAACGCAGACCTGGAGATGAAGATCAAACAGCTGATGCTCGACCGCATTCCCAAAGGCCACGACCTCGATTCCATGATGGCCCAAGCTCATGCAGTCGAGCAAGAGGTCAGTGATGAAGGAATGCATAGCAAAACAAGCATAGATACAGTAAGACAGGCCACCTTAAATAGCCAGACTGCACGTGGAGAGTTAATGTCACCAACAGAGTGCAAAGTTATGATGACTTTGGTTATTTTACATAGACAAACCACTCATGCAAATGTGAAATGTCTCATAGGAAGACCAGATGCAGAATTTGATCTGCATTAGTTCTCTGAGTTAACTTGTATTATACAAAGCCACAGCAAAGTTAATCATTAGTTTACCTTCTGACTAAACAGAAATAGTTAAAGTTTAATGACATTGGACTGCGCAACTTTATAAAACAAGATTCAAAAGTAGCTTCAGTGCATAAATACTCTTCCATTGGCAGTATAGAAAATACAGTATAAACATAATACATAGTATCATGACATGTAGAAGAATGTATGAACTTTGGTGGACCTGAGCACACACTTTAATCAAGGATGTTGGATGTTTATTTTTTTGTTGCTGCATTTGTTAATCTTTGTCAGGTGAGGAAGAGGACGCTGGAAAATGCTCGTCTCATGTTAGAGATCGATAATGCTAAACTGGCTGCTGATGACTTCAGAATCAAGTCAGTAATTAATGAATAATTGAAAATGAGTTTGATTTGGTTTGAATTGTCTTTTTCATATGACTTATTGAGCCCTTTAGAGTTTAATCAGTCTTTGATTAAGACTTGTGTGCATTTATTTTATGGTGTAGTAGACACAGTTCTAATAAATTATACAGCATTATTGTTTTTTTTTTTAACATTTTTAGTATTTTACCTAATGAATATTATGTAAAGAGATGTCTGTAGATGTATTTAAGATTTAAAACGTTTATTGAAGCATATGAGGGATTTTATATTGCAGTAACAGTAAATAAAGTATTCTGCCTACAGAGGTAAAAGCCAGGGCAAACTTTGAACTCTCCTCCCCACAGTCATATGTTACTGGGCTTTTTCTCTACTATATTTCCCACCATTACAAGGTGGGAGACGGAGCTGGTGATGTGTCAGTCTGTGGAGCGAGATTGTGTTGCTCTGAAAAAGGCCAAGACCGAGCACGAGCAGATCATTGCCTCTCTGAGGGGAGATCTGGACAGCCTGAAAGAAGAACTTTACTTCCTCAAGAAAAACCATGAAGAGGTGAGAGTCATTTCTAATGCTCTCATTTTTGTCACCTTTCTGTTTTTCTTTCACCTCCCTTTTAGTGTTTAGTTTGCTCTTTCTATCATTTCCCATTTCCTTTGTCTCATTGTCCAGCTCTCATTATCCATCTTGCCTCCACAAACAATGAGTTTCTTATCAGATTCACCCAGTTTGGTGGATTTAAGAGGTCTGTTTAGAGTGAACAGAAAACTACCTGCAGGAAGACAGGACAGAGCGAGAGAGAGAGAGAAGCAGTCCTCTGGTTACTACAAACAAAAGGAGCAGGGAGTTCTGGTTTCCCAGACTTACTCTTTCTGCTGATCCCAAGTGTCCAGACCACTGTCCTCTGGGTGAAAGAGAGTCTAAGATAAACTTACCTCATCTCACCAAGGCAAAGGATCTCCTTCATACTGAAAGAAAATGTGAATAAGACTGAACAGTTCCAGTTCTCGTAAGACACTGGAGGCCACTTACAGTCCTCTATTGTACTACGATAAGTGTAAATTAGAGCTGATATGTTGTTTTTTCTATTTTATGCCTTGTGGTCACTGTTTCCATTGAAATCAGTTCTTTATGCTGAAACTATAAACTTTTCCACCACTGAAATAAAAAAGTGCTGTAGCGTCCCTGGGGGTCAGTTGGGAAACTAGATCACTTCCCAAACAAGGAAACTTTACATAAAATCAGAGGTGGAAAGTAATTAAGTACATTTACTCAAGTACTTGCACTTGCACCTGGGGGTCCCTGATGGACTAGTGGCTAGGATTCAGCGCTTGATTCAGAAGCCAAGTGTGTACATGCATGTGTCTGAGTTGCGTCAGGAAGGGCAGACTTCACCATGTGAGTCGTCAGAGTGACGATTTGCTGTGGCGACCCTTTGCAGGAACATCCGAAAGTGACAAGTTATAGTAAAGTTTAATGTTTTATCCAGCAGATATGACAGAGTTCTTAAACCAACATCCAAACAGAACAGAATCAGCATGAAAACAACAGGACTGATGAAGCCAAGTGTCTGAGTTGCACATGATTCCATAAACAGTGACATATACTGTGCTGTAGGTGTGATACTGCACTAAGCACAGTACGCACTGTGAGTGTTAAGTCTGACAAGTGAAGCTAATGTTTCAATCACAGTGTTCACATCTTTGTTGTGAATTATTGTGCTTGTACTTAAGTACAATTTTAAGGTATCTGTACTTTACTTGAGTATTTTCATTTTCTGCTACTTCATACTTTGACTTCACTACAATTTACAGAAAAATATTGTACTTTTTAACCACTACATTTATTTTGATAATTTTAGTTAATTGTTACTTTTCAGAATGAAATTAATGAACCAAAATACAGTATAATCATAGGACTTTACTGAACCCTGGTGGGAAATTTTCAAGCTACCCAGCAGTATGTAAAGTACTGTACTTCAAAGTATAAGCATATACATAATATAGTTAACATTAGCTCTACCTTCACAAGCTGTAACATTAAATGTGATGTGCACAATAATACATCAGTATTATAGTTTAATAATATGATACACATGAATGTGAACTGTGCTATTCTGCATAATGAGTACTTTTATCTTTAGTACTTTAAGTATTATTTTATGTTAATATTATTACTTTTATTTAATTAACAACCTGAATGTAGGCCTTTCCTTGTAACCGTGTTTTTACACCGTGATATTGCTATTTCTACTTAAGTAAACAATCTCTTCCATCACTGCATAAAATAAAGCATTTAACTGTATTTTAGTGCCCAACAAAGGCTGCAAAATTGTGCAACTTATATAAGAGCATTAAGAACAGGCCACACCACATTAAACCAACTTGCATGTGACAAAACACTATGTTCCTGAGAAGAGAGAGTGAAAGAGCCACCGGACATGCATGAGCAGGAGTGTGCCGTGTGTGAGTTGAAAGGACACAGATAAGGTGAGCTCTGCCCCATCAAATATTAATGGAGACCATCTAAATAATTGAGATGCCCTCACATCCTCGCTGCCACCCTGTGGTGTAGGTTTCACAAACCTGCTCCTTGTTCCATATGTCACCTGTCCACGCACATGTTAAACACATTCACAAATTCAACACGTGACACAGACACACAGGTAAACGATGCACATAGAGGTTAGTGTGACTTTTTACCCAGCTTAAACCATATGGTTCTTTCCATTCAACATTATTACACATTATGACAAAGCAACATAGTGGATAACTACTTCTTGTTTTGCAGGAACTTGAGCAGATGAAGTCTCGTCTTGCCAAAGATGAGGTAAACGTGGAGGTGGACTCTGCCAGCGGGCCAGAGCTTGGCACCATTCTGTCTGAACTACGTTCCCAGTATGAAGGGATTGTCAAGAAGAACAAGGAAGAGACAGAGCAGTGGTACCGCAAGAAGGTCAGTGGAGAAACTGCCATTTTATTCCACTGATAAGAGATTTTTTTTTTAATCTGGCAAATTTTCTCCATAGTGTGTTAAGTTACAGTTTATGTCCAATGGCCTGAACAAAGTTAGACAAATTCTGTTTTTATGTCTTGGCCAGCTGGAGACGGTGCAGAATGAGGTGAAGGAGAGCAACGAGGCTCTGAGAAGTGCCCAGAGCGAGCTGACCGAGAGGCAGCGTTTCCTGCAGACCCTGGAGGTGGAGCTGGAGAGTCTGCACAAGCAGGTGAGGAGCTCCGCCTGAGGAGGAAGCTGACGTGGGGAGCAGTAGCAATGCATGCTCACAAACACAACCAGACACATATAAGTTAGATGAAATGGAAAAAAAAAAAAAACTATCTCCATGTCTACATACAAAGTGAATGTGTGAGTTTTCATACCTTTTGGCTGCATAAGAATGAAAAAGACTGACACTGAGATTAGGAAACTGAACAATATGGTTGTGAGAGGGATTCACTAAACTGTTGTTTCTCCTGAAGCCTGACATAGTTGTGGTTTGGTTTAAAAATAATTGTGCAACTTATATTTCTACATTTGGAGCTGTGAAAACAAAATCTAATGCACATGAAGCTGTGCAAATACCATGATTGTGACTTTAAAAATATGGTTAGGAGTGTTACCTTTTCACAAAGCCCTGGTGAGCTGTGGTACTGTGCTAAAGAAAGCTAGTTTTATAAGGGATTTGTCAAATAATAACAAAAAAAAAATCCTTAAGAAGCTTAGGGTCAGAACAGTTTTTAATTTGAGCTTTGTCATCATGCTGTACTGTCTAGGTGTCTGAGAAAATTCATTTTGTTTTTCACTCTGCTGTAATCCGGTGTTGACAGTAAACATGTTCTCCCACGCTGCTAAGCCATTCCATGTCATACTGGATTGAGCTGCTGACGTGTGAGGGGGAGAGTTTCGGTGGTGAGGTGGGTAATTGTATCAGAACAGCGAATGTTTGCTTTGGATGCCAAGGCCTTGTTAGCTTACAGGTATTTGTTAATGATCAAGGGACATTCTTGAGGTTTGTTTTCTACTGGCAAACATCCTATTAGGAAAGAGAAGGTTTAAGATCTGAAACAGTTTATCAACAGCCAACCAAACACATCGCATTTGCACAATGTAACAATCCCATCAGCACAGTAGAGTCACTGTGATGAACTCACAGAATTATAAATAATTTGGGACATTTCTTGATTTGGCCAACAATTTAAGAGTCCCAGGTCACCAGGCCTTTAAACCATGAACTAATATTATGATTATGGGCAATGTTAAAACCACAAAATGGCAATATTAGACCCATGCAGATAAGGCAGGCCAGCCTTATTATTATTTTCCCTTTCTCTCCTCAGATTGCAGCGCTGGAAGGTAACCTGGCTGAGACAGGTCAGAAGTACTCTGCTGAGATGGAAAAGCTGCAGGTCACCCTGAGCCAGCTGGAGGACCACCTGTCCCAGCTCAGACTAGAGATGCAGCGCACCAAGACTGACTACGAGCAGCTCCTCCGCATCAAGCAAAATCTGGAAATGGAGATTGCTACCTACAGGCGCTTACTGGAGGGAGAGGAAACGTGAGTTTTCAACAGTCCCATAAAGAAAGAATGAATTCCAAGACTTGGGAGTAGGCAGCGATAATGGGTATGTTCATTTTGTTTTCAAGTCAATCCAAAGCTGATTCTAACATGTTTTCTTCCCACCTCTCAGAGTCAAAGAAGTTCCTCCTCCACCAAAAAGTGAGTCTTTGGCTTCTGACTTTTAGCTGAGCTGTATGTCAGAACAACAGAATAACAGTCAAGCAGCATTTATGTCATAGTACAGTAGCACAGCAGTGGTCATTCATGCATTTTGAATACATCTTATCACAATCGGGGAAGTAAAAAAAATTACTTGATTTACCATTTGTTGCGTAATAGCCAAACCTTATATGGATTCAGATGTGAATTTGAGACAGCGCCCTATAGGGAGACTGACAGAGTGACGTATCTTCCTTTACACACACTTAAGAGCCCCAAGACCACAAATTGCTCAGCTTCTTAAGCAACAAATATGGGTGTGAAAATATTTATCCCAATGTTGTAACTGAGGTCTTTATGTGAATGACTCACTCACAACTGGAATAACAAACTGCAAGGTGCTTTGAAAATGTTCTTTGTCTTACACAATTAAAAGACTAAAGGTGACACTGAATCAAAGTCTGTAATGTCTTTATGAAACAAAAGTTTACCTGTTTTTACAACCCATGGTTTTAGTCTCATTTGACATATTTTTCTCTTGTCTCTTAATTTCTTTCTCATTAAATCTCACATTATCAAACTCTTCTCATCTAGTATCATCAATGTCAAAAGCTCTTATTCTAATAAAAATATTTTCTAATCTCATATTAATGTGTGTTTTTTCAGCTAATTTAATTCTAAACATTTGTTCTCTCTTTTCTCATCTGATCATTTCTGTCTGTGCAGAGGAGCCAGATGTTCGCACCAGGAAGATTGTGAAGGTGGTGACTCAGACAATGGTCAATGGCAAAGTGGTGGACGAATCCAGCGAGGTGGAGCAGATTGAGGAGACCAAGAAATAGAAGGAGGAACGAAGAGGACATGGAGATAAAACAAATTAAAACCCGAGAATGGCACAGTGATTTGCAAAACAAAAAGAAAGAGAGAGGAAGAAGTGAAAAAAAAACATTAGAGATTAGATCAGAGTACTGCACAACAGCTGTGGAAATAAAGCAACATTCATTCTTACAACAGAGACTACATATGACTTTGAAATTGGCATTTTTGTGGGTGCGTTACTTGACTATTAATGTTTTGTGTTTTCCTAAAGTCAGCTTATCAGTAATGAGCTAACTACAAACAGATATACCCTCTATTTGTTATCTGCTGTAGCTATGCATTCTTATATCAGTTTTGAATAGAGAAGTGTGTTTGAAACAAACTAACTACTGATATGTTTTTATTCTGTTTTACTAATAAAATGTTAACCAAAATATGTATTTCTTAGCATGGTGAAAATGTATTTCATGCCTTGACTCCTTTTACAAAAATATCACAAAACTGTCTGTTTTTGTGTTTGTAGTCCATCAGAATTAAAAGTTTAATTCATCCATTACATGTTTGCAACTTTTGTATTTGGTGCATTTGACAAGGACTTAAACAAGACACAAGAAACAAAATGAAGAGTCTGCAGCCATGCTAGTTGCTTTGCGAGGCTGCTTTGAGCTAAATGCTACCATGCTTACGATGACCACGCTAACATGCTGATGTTTAGCATACTGTTTACAGATTTCACTATAGTTGAGTAGGTTAGCATGTTAGCATTCCCATGTCATGCAGGTATCTATAATCTAAGATGATGCCAAAACAAACACCAGAGGAGATGAAAGGGAAAGAAACTGATGCCTTATACTGACTTGACTGATATCATGGCCTGAGGATTTCCTCCTGAGAGTTTGTTATAAAGTCACCATTTGTTTACAGAGCAGTCAGACAAATTCCCAGGTGGACAACTCATAAAAACAGACTCAGGAAAGCAGATGAGTTTGGCAGGAGCACAAACACATAATCAGGTGGTCAGCAAAGTTGGCAAGAACGTCTGCAGGTAGACAGCTGGACAAACAGATAAGGCAGAAACCTTTGTTTCACATGATTATCATAATGGGGATCATAGTTAACCACTCTACTGTATCAGCATTTATTTATGACCTATTACATACATTTTCAAGTGCATTTTTATATTAATGAATCAATAAAAAGTTTTTCACAGTACAAAATACAGACACTCATTCCTGAAATGTGAACAAGTGCACTGTGAACAGACAGAATCCTCTCACTCATTTTGCATCTAATTCTTGAAGGATTTCATTTTCACATAATGAAGATGAAGAGTGGAAGTTCAAGAGCAGGACTATGCCCCTAACGCGCCCCTTCCCCTGCAACCTGCCTAGAAACACTTTCTCTCTCCACCTGCAGAGTGCTTTCATTTCTTGTAAAACCCTCCAGCCTTTTGTGTCTATCCCATCATTTCGCTTCCTTTCTAAACTCCTGTACCTCTCCTCTTCTTTCTTACTGTTTTTCCTGCTTCCTATGGGGGACCCACCACATCCGAGTGCCACCAAAAGCCTTCCCCCAAAACACTCTAATAGTCACCAAGCAGCATCAGCACAAAGTTCCACATAGGCATGGTCCTTACCAGTGAATTTACATATGGATTTAGAAAATGAAGTACATTACGGGTAGTAATACGAAATGTTGCTGAATTTATGAGAAACAGCAGCAGTTTGTTACATGTACTTCTTATGTATATTTCCTGGAAAGAGCTGCAAAAGTCTAACAGTATTAACTGGAAGCAGCTGCAGTTGATGACAAATGAAAAAGTTTTCTCCATGTTTATTGAGTTGCACAGTAAATTTTCTGCCACTTACAATCACACAGGAAAGTACATTTTCAGTTTAAGATTTCTTGAGCAATGAGCAAAATTCTTTCAACATTAAGTTAGTTTGAAATTACACAAAACTGAAAAATGTGCCAAATGAACATGTTCACTATTTTGTACAGTTGGTACAAAATTAAACTGTATATTACTGATAACTGATAACATTTCCAAAGAAATACATTTTATATTAAGGTCCCTCTTGGAAATAAAACTATCAAGGTGAAGGACCTGCCAAATCAAATGCTTTCAGATTTCATTTCATTAAATTTTTTTACACTCTGTTTAATGAGACTTCTTTACTGTAGCTAGCATGGGCCATGGCGATTACTTTTGTGTGTGTGTGTGTGTGTGTGTGTGTGTGTGCCTCTACAAACACTAAACATTTTCAGTTTTTGTTCCGCAGTGCCACTGCCGTGCCTGTACCGTCCACAAACAGAAGCTTGTTCATGTTTTCTCATATATTTTAAATGACAGCCACTAGAATATACAGGTATAGTCACCTTCTGTCTTTCACGCAGACAGAAACCCAGAGAGACAGTAATGACAGAGATAAGTAGGATCAATGGATTAAGCAGTCTGGTGACGTAAAAGCAAGCATGATATTCTCTAAGTGGAGATGTTGCCTTTAGGCACCATTTAGAAGATCACACCCCAGCACCAGACAAAAATACATGTAGGCAGGGAGACAAACAGCGTGTGGCTTCAAAGAACAAAACAGCCACATAACAGATGAACTCTACTTCTTCTTTAAGAAAAAAATAGAAACTCATGTACAATAAGTCATCATGTATCCGAGCTTCCTTTCCTAGTGTGATTTCTTTACTGGTGTGTGTTCCCGTTTTCAGATACACTATTTGAACAAGAACAGGAGGACAGTGTAAACACACTTTAACAATCCCCCTCCGCCACTAAAGATACTTCACTGCCATGCATCAAATAAAATAGGATAGACTGCCGAATTTTCTCCTTTGTGTTATCTTTATGTTTAGAGTTTTGTGTCCAAGCAAACTACACACTGCTTACTTCTTCTTACATACATGCCTCAGTAAATGAATGATAGAGAGACAAAGTCATTACAAATGAGATTGCTTGTACTGACTGTCCTGCCTGAGGGCATCAGCTCCACTGCATCTTTGTTACAGCACAAAAGGACAACATTTCTGTAAAATCTGTTTTCTTTTATTTTGATTTACACTCAAGACACCACAACAATAGTGAAATTTTTCTTGGACAAACAGTGGATGGATATGAGTGATAGAGGAGGATATGGATGTACTGTCTTCACTTCACAAATTTTTTTTTTTAAGCCTTTTCCCCTTGTTCTCATTTGGTTTTTATTTTTGCATCTGTCCATTGACTCTACATGATCATTCTCACATATACAACAAACACACTTTCTCTCACACGTACACTTTCATTTTCCCTGCCCTTGCTTTCAAGCCACCTATAGGCTACAGCTAGCTGGCACCCTCTTCTGTCTGCATCTCTCTACTTCTCTCTAGCAGGCTCCAGACTGCAGTACAGGTTGAAACTGCCCGGCCATGCAGATATCCTCCTGTTTCTGATGCACGATGCGCTGGATGGCAGGAGGCAGGCCACGCGGGTTCCTGGAGAAGATGATGGCATAGCCGTCATCGCAGCTTCCATCCTCCTTCAGGGTGCGGCAGGCATAGGTGATGGCATAGTTGTCATAATCAGTGTCGATCACCCAGTAATTGTCACCTGGTTACAAAGACACGATGAGAGATCAGTGAGTGTGGTGAGGAATGAGGGGAGGATGTGAGGGGACTGTTTATGCAGAGCTTACCTCCACTGGACAGGTAGCTGGCCAAGCCCTGGTAGTTCATGAACATCTTGCCAGGGGTGGCAGGGTCAGGGACAGAGTACTTGGCAGCCATGTCAGCACACACAACCCAGAAGCTGCAGTGATGATACAAACATACATGTTAACATCTTTACAAAGTACAAAACATAAAAGAAATCCCTTGACTTCTGTTGATTTCATTGCTATTAAAATGTTAATAGTGTAAATCTCAAAAATTATTGTAACAGCATAGTCCATGTAAAAAAATATTTTATAATTACTGTAATTAAAGCCTATATTGATTTCAGTGCATGTCATGAGCACTTAGTGTGGATGCAAGCCCACATTCCTGTGTAAAAACCCTCCTGTCCAATCTGCGTTTCTTTCTAATCCTACCTAATCCAGGACAAACCCAACTTGTGGCTAATGCAGTTCAGAAAGTGCTCCTATAAAACGTATAGTTCTTCTTCTTCATATCTTTAAATCTTGAGCAGAACTTGAGCACCTTTCTTAACTTCTGACGTCTGAACACTTGAGCTGCCCTCACCTCCCCAGATCTTAATGAGTCAAGAAAGTCTTTGTGACTAAACTGACCTTTTGCCCTAACCAGGAGGGGGGTTAAAAGAGGGAAGCTGGTTTTGGTTGTGATAAAGCTGATCATGTAGTTTTATCTGTAGATAATAAATGAAATAAGACAGGGAGGGTTCCTGTGAGTCCAAAGAAACTACTGTATAAATGGCCCTCAGACTTGCCCAAACAGAGTGACCCGTCCCTTGGAGGAGGCGGTCATGGACCCATCATCATCGATGGTGTACTCAGCTGAGATGTTGTCCTGCAGGAACAGGCCTTCTGGATCTTTCTTCTGCAGTGCGTACCACTTCCCTGCATACTACAGTGAAAAAGAAAGAAGGAAGAAATTCAGAAACTGTTGTAAATTATTGTGTTGCTTGTGTGTTTTTAATTTACTCACCCTTTTTGGGTCAAAGTCCTGTTTGACTGAGAAGCTGTCAACAACACAGGAGGAAGACAGACCTCGCTCTACACAGGCCACCAAGACCAGCAGCAGGGCCAGCTTAGAGGATCCCATTCTATAATATACATAAATATCAGTGTCATACTGTAGTATGGAGTACTTCAAGGATATGGACTAGAAACACTGTTTCTCATTTCAGTAGTTAAATCTGACAGAATATAAGGTGTACACATGTCATAAATGTAACTGATAAAATGTAAAGAAATCCTCAAACTAGTAATTAGAGGGTGAAGAATCTTATAATGGATAAATGTCAGTCTCTTACCTGTTCTGGTTCAAAGTTGCAACTCCGGTTAAGATTCTAGCAGTGTACGTGTTTGTCCACCACATTAGGTCTCATGTCTGAAGCTGCCTTTATATACACTCTCCACAGACAGGCTTAGGGCTGATTTTCATTGCCTGGGACTAAATAAGGTACTTAAATCTTGAGGTAATCCTGTTGGGTCGAAATACTTACTGTAATCTGGCTTCTATGTTTAAACCTTAGACTTATTTTAAAAACAATTAGACCTTATGTAACTAATTGGAAGCACAGGGCAATGGACACATGCACACTAGAACAGACAAATGAACTGCATTTGTATGTGTGCAAAATATACACAAATAGAGGTTGATTTGATTAAAATGGCTAAAATTTGAAAGAGTCTAATGCCACCAGGGTTGGTCCTGGAATCTTTACTTAAATAAAGCAAAATGCCATCTTAGACAATAGAGAATAAATCTGGAGATGATAGCAATGAAATGTATTAAGGGCTTGTTGAGGGTTTGCTTTTAAATGGCAGCTGCCAACACCCATTAGTGAAAGAGAATTATTAGAACCCAGCCAAACTCTGTTATGTTTATGGCTTCTGAAGTAGCATCAGACACTTTTCAGCTTTGTTTTCTGATGTCTGCCTTATGAAGAAAGATATTTATACATTTTGAGTGCACTATCTGAATGAATCAGTTTACAAGGCTTACAAATAATTTTGTAAATGCAACATATCTGCAGTGTTATGCTAATTAAAATTTGATGGCATTATACCAATATACATGTGACAGCTTCCGATAACCAATCATCTTTTTATTTATTTAATCTATTGAATTTGAAGGTTAAAGAGTCACAGTTTTTGCATGCAGAACAGGAGAATGGGCTCTGTGAGAGAGCCAGGACCTGGCAGCACTGCCGCCTGTGTGGCACCTCATCAGCATGCAGCATCACAACCCCCCACGCCATAGGGGGCAGCCATAATCCCCCGCCTGCTCGCCACTTCTCTGTCTCTCCTCCTTCACTTGTCTTGGGCCTTCTCCAGCTCATCGGCTTAGTGGAGCTACAATTCCTTTCTTTTCTCCTCTGCTCATGTTAGTCTTCTGTTCTTGTCTCTTCTGTTGTTATCTACTGTGCTTCTCTCTCCTCATTCCCTCCCTTTTGTCTCTCCTCTTCCCTTCTTTCCCCTCTGATCTGGTTCACGGTTCAAATTAGACAAATAAATACAGAGAATCCACAGTCATTATACCCAGAGCCCACATTTACATCCATAATGCATTTCACAGACAGCACTCTCACCTTTGCAATAAGAATGATCACCTTTATTGGCCAAGTATGTTACACACAAGGAATTTGTTTCCAGTACAGAACCAACAGCAGCCATCTGTGGTGCCAACTCAGTTGATGGTTCTAACCATCGAGAGGGTTCAGTGTCTTGCCCAAGGACACTTCGACTGCAGGCAGATTCAAACCTTCAACCTTCTGGTTGGGAGACAACTGCTCTACCCACTGCACCAATGTCACCCCTCCCCAATAACTGTGTAAGGTAACACCTAAGAGAGGAAACCTTAAGATGAAGTTGTGCAAACTCGTTAAAAACAGTCGCACCCCATGATAAAATTTACACCACTGAGCTATGGAAGAAGTGACACATGACTTTAATGAACTCTTCTCACCTGGCAAACTTCTTTCTCTTCTTCTTCAGAATCTGTAACAGGTTTCTCCAGTCATGATTGGAGTCGTGTCTGCCACTCTATCTCTGTTGTTCTCTCATGTCACTGTCTTTTGTTCATAAACAAATAGATAAGTAAAAAGGTTACATCATATGATGATCTGAACTGGATTTATGACTAGGGGACAATAATCTTTGTTTGCATTGTACTGTTATATGTGAGATGTTGTGATCTTGTTTGAGTCATGGAAACATATTTTTGGTTTCTTATACTGTAACTTTTGTGGGCTGGGTCCTTGCAAGTCCATAATAAATAACATAGCAATGCGAATATAAACTCCAGCTTACATTGCCTCTTAAGACGGTAAAGAATTTTCATTTTGATTAATCCTTATCTTATATCTGCATTTCTTCCAGGGTCATAAGCTGCTGATCATCAGCACCACTAGTTGTAAAGACGTCCTTCAGGAAATGGGAATGTTAAAAGCGTTCAGCACCATCATCCACATTCCCAACATCTCAAGTGAAAAGGAGCTGCTCGAGGCCCTAGAGGTAACTTGCACCAAAGCAAATGCATACACTCAACATGCATGTGCTAAATGCACGCAGTCAAACCAGTCACTGTCTTCAAGAATGATATTTACTTTTGTCAGAGAAGTTGTTAAACATTCTGTTATACTGTCACATTCTACATTAATCACCTATAACCTACTTGTGGCCAGTGTTCTGCTAGTCTTCACCTCTTCAAGAACAAGTACAGTGCAAAAGGAGAGTGAAATACTTCTTTGTCAGCGTAGAAACACGTGGCACCGTAATTGCAGCACTTATTCTGAAGACCTTATCCCTAATTCTTGACACGGACTGCATGTCTTGTGCTTTTATCACATTGCCTTAGTTTAGTTTATCTCAGCTGCAAAGATTTTGATGGTGTTGGTCATAATTAACATATAATTTTTAAGTTGCAGTCAGACCAAACTTCAGGCCAAAAGAATGGTGGACAGGAAATTGGACGGAAGGGAGTTGTAAACATGAGCTGTGGGAGCCAGCATGGCTGCAGGTCTGACAACACCTGTCCACAAAACTGTCAGTTACACCGTGTTTTATCTAACACTGTTGTTGTCCCTGCATTCAGTGCAGCCAAGCAATATCTTTGCTTTCATGCTGTTTGCATTATTTCACTATGCAACTGTAAGCAAGCAAGCAAACTTTATTTATATAGCACCTTTCTAAACCTACGTTACAAGGTGCTTTCCAGTAAAACATAAAAATAATAAAAATAAATAAAACCAGATAAAACATCTACACAATAAAATAACAGCAAAAATGCATAATCAAAACAAATACATCAATCAATAACATTGTTAAAAGCCAATGAATACAAATGTGTTTTGAGCAGTGATTCTCTAAAAGATTTAGACAGCTTCGTTGTTGTAAAGCACGTTATAGGAAATCTTTCCTGCCTTATTCCATTAATTTGTACAATACATCATCTTTGAGCATTAGATGATTCCTGGATTGACAGTAATTGTATACTGAATCACCTTTTGTATAGATTTGCATATGTTTGATTCATCATGTGATTATGTATATGTACTTGATTGTGTTGGGTTTTGTTTTTAACTTTTAATGTATTTTTATTTGTTTTATATTTTAGTGGGTTATCTATTCTATTTATTGGTATGTGTGCTTGATATTGAGTGTGAACCACTGCTGAAACAATGCAATTTCCCAGATTGGGATTAATAAAGTATTTCTATCTATTCTATCTATCTATTTAAAAACAGTCAGGTTCGGAGCAGATCTAATATCCCATGGCAAACCATTCCACAGTATAGGAGCCTGAACTGAAAGAGCTCGGTCTCCCCAATGTTTCCGTCTGGACTTCGGTACTTCCAGGAACAACTGGTTTGAAGACCTACGTAAGTGTCCTTTCAGGAGCATAAAAACACACAAGCTCAGAGATATAAGAAAGTGCTAGACCATGTACAGCCATATAGGCAAACATCAACAATTTAAAATCAATCCTAAAATGAACAGGAAGCCACTGGAGTTATATGCTCATGACGACATGTATTAGTCAAAAGATGAGCTGCTGCATTTTGGACCAACTGGAGCTGGGACAATAAACCTTGACAAATGCCAGTATACAGTGCCTTACGATAATCAAGTCTAGAGCTAAGGCATGAATTGTCTTTTCAAAATCACTAAAAGAAAAAGTATTTAACCTTAGCCAGAAGTCTCAAATGAAAAAAGCTGGCTTTGACCACAGATTTTATCAATTCATCCGGCTTAAGAGCACCATCAAATACCACCCCAAGATTCCTCACATGAGGCCTCAGGTAGGGGGCCAAAGAGCTAGGAATATCAGAATTAGTGACACCAGAGTTACCAGTTAAACACATTCTGTCTTACTTTTATTAATATGTAAGAAATTATGTGATAACCACGCCTTAATGTCCCTCAGGCAATCCATCAAGGTCTGTAATGAGTTGCTCTTCTTGACATTCAATGGCAGATAAATTTGAATATCCTCTGCATAACAGTGAAAAGACAACCCATATTTCATAAAAATCGATCCTAGGGGAAGTAAATATAAAGAAAAGAGGACTGGCCCAAGGATGGATCCTTGAGGAACACCACAGTTCAGAAGAACAACAGAAGAAGAGAACTCATCAATGTGTACAGAAAAACTCCTATCAGACAAATATGATTCAAACCATTTAAGAACAACACAATAAAGTACTACAGACTGCTGCAGATGGGACAACAAAATACGATGGTCCACTGTGTCAAAAGCACCCGAAAGGTTTAAGAGAATGTGTGACTTGAAGCAAACAGGTCTTGACTAGTATAAACAGGAAATGACATCCAGTGACGTGCGGTCAGGGGAGGCAGGGGAGGGAGGGGCTCCCCCT